AGGTAACGGGGAGCAGGGCACGGGAAGCAGGTAATGGGGCGCGGGGAGCAGGTAACGGGGAGCGGGGCACGGGAAGCAGGTAACGGGGCGCGGGACTCGGGGAGCAGGTAATGGGAAGCAGGTAACGGGGAGCGGGGCACGGGAAGCAGGTAACGGGGCGCGGGGCCGGCCCGCGCGGTGCTGAGCACCCGTCCCGCAGGTGATCCTGGCCGAGGTGTCCCCGCGGGGCCTCCTGCGCTCGCTGTCCGACCCCGAGGCGCTGCGGGCGGCCGGCGAGGCCGCGCCCGTCTACGCCTTCCAGCCACCGCCCGCCCGCCGCGCAGGTACCGCCGCGCGCTGCGATTGGCTGCGGCTGCCGGCCCGCCCCGCGCGGATTGGCTGAGGGCTCCCGGGCTGTGCTGGGATTGGCGCTGGGCGGGGGAGAGGGAACGGCCCCGTGATTGGCGAGAGGCCATGGATCCCTCACTGTGATTGGTGGGAGGGAGTGGATCCCCTCATTGGGATTTGTGGGGCAGTGGATCCTCTCTGCTGTGATTGGTCAGAGGCAGCTCCACCCCACTGGTAATGGGAGAGGCAGAATATGCTGGGATTGGTGGGAAATGGATATCTTTGGCTGGGATTACTGGGAGCCATGTCCTCTCTGCTGGGATTGGTGGGAATGGTGGTGCTGGGCAGGGCCATGGCACTAATTACCCCAGCTTTAACGAGAGCCCTCATTTCCCGGCCCGCAGGGTGTCCCCGCAGCCTCCCCACGTCCCCCGCGGTGCCACGGCCGGAGGGGCCGCGTCTGCTGCCCAGCGCCGCCCGCTCCTCTGACTGCCTGCACCGTGCGCCCGGCAGCCGCATCCTGCTGCTGCTCTGCAACACGGTGGGCACGGGGCCGCAGCTCGCCAGGTACCGTCACCTGCCTGCCACCTGCCTGCCACCTGCCTGTCACCTGCCTGTCACCCTGTCCTACCCACTCCCCGCCCTTGTGACACCCAGCCACGTGTCCCTCCTGCCTGTGCCCAGGTTCGGGCCGCCGCTGGTGCTGCGGGAGGAGCGCGGCGTCTCCTGGGAGCAGCTCCAGCAGAACATCCTGGCCCAGCTGAGGGGGGTCCTGCGGGGAGAGGTCCGGCCACAGGTGAGCCCAGTCCTGTCGCCTCCAAGCCATCAAATTTTGGGGGCTGGTTTTGCCCCACGTCCCAAAGCCTGGCTTGGCCAGGTGCTGCTGCTGGGTAGGGGATCCTTGTCCCCTGGTGACCCCACAGCCCCCTCTCCCCTCACAGGGCACGGGAGCCCTTTTCCGGATCCGCCTGGCTGGGGTCTCAGCCCCCTGGACCTACCTGTCCCCTCAGGATCCCCGTCCTCTCTGCCACCCTGCCATTGACAGGTAAGGGGCTGCAGAGACTGTCCCCAGGATGTCCCCTCAACCCCTGGGGCCAGCCATGTGTCACACATGGCATCACATGTCCCTGTGCATGGCTGTGTTGTCCCCATGGGTGGCCAGCGGTGACACCTTGGGTAGCCACAGTGGTGGTCACTCTGCTGCCCCAGCACTGGGTCCCTGGCCCAGCGTTCCCACTGTGGGAGGTGGTGGCTGTCCCTGCCTGGCACCATGGGAGGAGATGTCCCTATGGGGACAGGGGTTCTGGGGACATCTCACCCTGTCCTCCCCTCAGGGCCCTGCAGCTGTGTGGGGCTGGGGGCCCTCCCCACGTGAGGCTGACGGTGGAGTGGGACACGAGCACCAAAGAGCGGTGAGTCCCCTGTGCCTGGGCTGGGGGGATACCCCGGCACTCGGGTCACCCTCGCTGATGGGTGACACATCCCCCCCCAGGCTGTTTGGGAGCATCCAGGAGGAGGTGGTGCAGGACGCGGAGAGCGTGTGGCAGCAGCAGCAGGCGCACGGGCAGCAGCACAGCTGCACCCTGGACGAGTGCTTCCAGCTCTACACCAAGGAGGAGCAGGTACGGGCACCCCAGGCAGGCCCACGCCCTGCCCACCCCTGGCAGAGGGGCTGCTGGCGCTTGCAGTGCTGGGGGTGGCTCTGCAGGTGGTGGGGCTGACAGGGAGGGAGGTGGCCATGACGTGATGTCCCCAGCTGGCCCCGGACGATGCCTGGCGCTGCCCGCACTGCAAGGTGCCCCAGCAGGGCACGGTGAAGCTCAGTCTGTGGACGCTGCCCGACATCCTCATCATCCACCTGAAGCGCTTCCGGCAGGTGGCCGAGCAGCGGCACAAGCTCACCACGCTGGTGAGGTTCCCACTGCGGGGGCTGGACATGGCCCCGCACGTGGCACAGCGGGGCCAGCCCGGGGGGCAGCTCCTGGGGCGCTGGGCGCCCTGGCAGCCCTCCCTGCGCCTGCCCCCGGGCTGCCCCCGCGACCACCTGTACGACCTGTACGCCGTCTGCAACCACCACGGCAGCATGCAGGGCGGCCACTACACCGGTGAGCGGGGACACTGGGGACAGCGCGTGCCATGGGGGTGCCGTGGGGGTGCCGTGGGGCACGGCGGGGCAGAAAGGAGCTGGGGTGCAGGGGACATTCAGGATGGCATTGCAGCCACCCCAGGACAGGCAGGGCGCCGGGATGTGTCCCCCAGCAGCATCCCATTCTCCCGGTGTGTCCCTGCACCATGGGGCTCCTGGTTCCCCCTGCACCCCGGGGCTCGGGGCATCCCGGCACAGAGCCCCCGTCCCCGCTCACCCCGTGGCCCCTCGCCCCCAGCGTTCTGCTGCAATGCCCTGGACGGGCGCTGGTACAGCTACGACGACAGCCGGGTGGAGTGGGTACGCGAGGCCGAGGTGAGCACCCGCAGCGCCTACATCCTGTTCTACCAGCGCCGCCGCGCCGCCGGCTCCGGCACGGGTGAGCCCCAAATCTCTGTGCCCCGCACCCCGGCACTGCCGCGTGGTCACACACAGCCCTACGTGTGACCCACACCCGTATGCACACCCTGCCTCTGCCCCCTGCACACAGACCTGCTGCACCATTCCTACGTGTGTGCGCACCCCAGCCCACCCTGTCCCACCCTGTCCCACGGCCCGCTCCCCGCGCTGGGTCCCCCCGGGCGGTGCCCCCGGCCCACGCCCGCCGCTCCCCGCAGGCTCCGCCGCCGCCGCGGGGCACTGGGTGTTCCGCCTGGCCGCCTCCGAGCCCCGCGCCGACCCCCGCACCGACCCCGACCCCTCGGGCTCCATCGCCGCCCCGGAGAACGGTGAGGCTCAGGACGCCCAGCCCCCGGTCCCCGCCGCGCCCCCCGCCCGCCCTGACCGTGGTTTCCCCGCAGGCGGGTTCGAGGCGCGGCCGCCGGTGCGGGGTCTGCAGGGGCTGCACGGTCGCAGCCTCAGCGTCCGGACCGCCCCCGCCGGACCCCCGGGACAGGGGGAGTCGGGACCCCCCCGCGCCCCCCGACGGCTCCGCCGGGCCGCCAGCGCCGAGGGGACCCCGCGCCGGCCGCCCCCGGGCCCCGGCAGCCCCGGGACCGCGGGACCTCAGGGGGATGCGGGTGTCCCCCCGGGCCGCTGCCCCCCCGGCCCCTCGGCGCTGGGGCGGTCGCGGAGCTCGGCCAGCCTGCCCCCCCGGCCCGAGGCGGGGCTGCGCAGATCCGCCTCGCTGGGCAGGGGCCCGGCGGGGCCGCCCCTGGTCGCCCGCGGTCCCCCCGGGGCCACCCTCCAGCGGGGCCGGCAGCCCCCCGTGCCCCTGCGGCCCCCGGCCGTGCCCGAGTCCAGCTTCTGAGCCGTGGATGGGGGCACCACTCCCCCAGCAGCTGTACAGCTGGTTCTGAACGGATCGGGGAGCTCCCCAAGGTGGGGTGTCCCACGGCAAGGGTGCCTGAACCAGGGGTCCCAAACCAGGAACATCCCGACCTGGGGGCTCCCAACCCAGGGACTTCTGAGCCGGGGAAAACCAAACCGGGCTATCCTGACCCAGGGCTTGGAATCCTGACATGGGGGCTCCTGCCTGACCCAGGGCACCCCATATCCTGATCCAGAAGCATTCCAAACCAGGACCATCCCTAGCTGGGGGCTTCAGATCTGGGCTTATCCCAAACTGGGCTCATCCCAAAGTGGTGGCCCCCCAGTGCAGGGCCATCCCAAACAGGGCAGGCGGGTGCACGGTCCCCAGCTCTGTGGCACCAGAGTATTTATTGTACCAGGAGAGTTTTATTCAGAGACGCTTTTTGTTTTCTAAAAGGCGACTATTTGGGGGTGGGGGGTCCCCCACACCTCGGTCTATGCAATCCCCGATTCCTGCAGCCAGCTTTTGTACGGGGCTCTGCCCCACCGCCGGCGGTTTCTATTAAAGACACGTGAAACAAACCCAGTGTCCATCCCAGGGGAAAAGGGCTCTGAGCCCCTTGGGGGTGGTCCTGCTCCTGCAGGGGGGATCAGCCCGGGATCAGAGGTCAGTCCTGGCTGGATCCTGCCATGTGGGGTGGCTGTTTCTGGGGAAGGTGGACCCTGCCCCATCCCATGGCACCAGACTCACAACGTTCCCTATAAAACACCAAAGCACCATTTTATCACCCAAACGCTCTCCACCTCCCAGTCCTCCCCCCAAGGCGGGGGCAGGAAGGAAAGGCCAGCGCCGCCGGGCAGTTCTCAGCGAGTGGCACACGGATTTATTTGATTTATTGATTGCTTTGGGGTGCTGGTGCCCCCCGGTGCCCACCTGGGGCGGGGGGCACGGTGCGAGCGGGGCGGGGGCGAAGCGCTGCCATTTCCATCCTCCCTCTCGCCCCGGCCGGGCGGGAATGGCTCCACATAAAACAAATCTCTCTATAGTTTCTCTCTCTCTATACAAATATAGAATATATATATATATATCTCTGCCGATATATATATACAGATCTGCTCTCTCTGGAAAGGATAAAAGGTTAATTTGTCTGTGCATGCACGACCAAAGCCACCAACCCCCGGGGACAGCGGGTGCCGAGGGACGTGCGCCTCCCCCGCCAGCACCCCGAGAGCCGGGGGGGCACGTCCTGCATCCCCAGGTTATTGCTGGTCAGGTCCCATCCTGCTCCCAAACAAGCGGAGGGGGAAGAAGCCGAAGAAAGGAAATCCCACTGCAAAGCGCCGGCGAGCTCCTTGTCACCTGGCCAGCACCCAGTGGCACCCGCCTCGGGGCACGGAGGACGTGGTGGCATCGCCCCAGGGTCGTGGGTGCTGCGGGGCGGGGGGCAGGCACCCGGTTCGAAGGCAAAGTCTGGATAAGGCGAACAAAAATGAACTAAAGAACAGCGGCCGCCCCCAAACCGGGCGCTTTGCCACCCAAGGTGGCCCGTGGCCCTCGGTGCCGGTGGCCGGTGCTGGCCCCTGGGTGCCGCACGGATGAGCCTGGGGACAGGGACACTGTCATAGGGCTGTGCTCTCCGATTCCTCCTCCTCCTCCTCCTCCTGCCGCGGGGTCAGGCTCGGCCCCGAGAGTCTCTGAGCTGCCTCGGGCGGGTCCCGGCACAGGGCGGCATCCGGGGACACGTGGAGGGAGGGGACCTCAAAACGGAGCAGACCTGCGGGAGGGCACAGTGATGGGGACACCCGCCGGGCTGGCACCGTGCTAGTGCCACCACCAGGGGTGTCACCACCGCCCTCTGCTCTGTGCACCCCACCCGAGTCAGGGCGGTGACGCCAGCTGTCCCCACACACTGCTCGTGTCCCACCGAGCGCAGGTGACACCGCTGTCCCCTCTCCCAGGGGACCCGCAGGGTGAGGCTGCACGTGTGAAGTGACAAGGTGACCACAGCCACCGGCAGGTGGTGTCGCCGTGTCCCTTGCTGAGAGCAGAGCAACCCCCTCAGACAGAAGAAGCACCTCCGCCACTCCTGCCAGCTCAGGGACATTGCCCAGGGACATCGCCCAGGGACATTGCCCAGGGGACCATTTCCCAGGGATGTTGCCCAGAGACATTGCTCAGGGACATTTCCCAGGGACATTGCCCAGGGACAATGCTCAGGTATATTGCCCAGGGACATTGCCCAGGGATATTTTTTCAGGGATGTTGCCCAGGGACATTTCTCAGGGATGTTGCTCAGGATGTGGCTCAGGGATCTTGTCCCACAGTGGCACTGGGGAGCTGTGCCTGAGCCAGGGGTGATGCCAGGTGTGATGTCAGGGCTGCATCCATGCCAGGGTGGCACCACACCGGTGCCAGTGCCACCCAAAGGCAGGTGGCAGCCCCTGGGGACACCGTGACCAGCCCCTCGCTGCCACCCGGGCTGTCCCACACCTCACAGGCAGGACAGGCACGCAGGGACAGAGCCTGGAGTCCTGCCAGACCGTGCAGAAGGGACACTGGGACATCCCCCAGCCTCTGTGTTCTCCGTGGTCCCCAATGCCACCTGCACTTCCCAAGCATCGCCCTGGCTGTCCCCCTGCAGCAGGGACCCCGGGGGACACGGCACCAACAGAGCCCAGGGCCAGGGCGGGCGGAGCAGCAGGGACAGCAGCACAGCTCCCGGGGATGGCACATTCCTGGTGACACTGCCACCTCGCAGGGGACATAGCCAGCTTCCCGATGCACTGTCACCTCCCTGGGCTCATCACCACCGTCCTGGGGACAGCTCCTCTTTTCCAGGGGCATCACCACATTCCTGAGTACATGGCTATTGTCACCTTCCTGAGGACATCACCAACCTCCTGGTGACATTCTGCCTTTCCAGGGACATCGTCACCCTGCTGGGGACATCACCAACTTCCTGGGGACATTCTGCCTTTCCAGGGACATCGTCACCCTCCTGGGGACACCACCACCTTCCAGGGCACAGTTTTGCCTTCCAAGGGACAGTTCCACCTGTGCGGGGAGGGTGCCACCTCCCTGGGGACCTCCCAGGGCACACTCCTGCCTCCTCAGGGCCATTGTCCCCGTCCTGGGGGACCCCGCCACCCCCCCGGGAGCCCCCCCCCGTGGGGGTTACCTGTGAGCGCGCCGTCCCCGGGGCCCGCGGTGTCCAGGCGGGGCGGCTCCGGGGGCTGGGGGGGGGGGGGGGGGGGGGGGGGGGGACAGGCTGGCCGGGGACGGGATGGGCGCCAGCTTCTTGGCCCCTGCGGGACAGAGACAGCGACAGGGACACGGCGTCAGGGCCGGGCCACCCGCGGGGACCCGCAGCCCCCCCGCGCCCCGCTCCTACCTTTGCGCAGCGAGTGCGGGCTCTGCTCGGCCGCGGGGGCGGGGGGCGGCCCCGGGGACAGCTCCGGGGGCTTGAAAGTGCTGGGGAGGGGGCACGGGGCACGGAACGGGCACGGGAGAGAGAACGGGGAAGGGAAAGAACAGGAGAAGATAGATGGAAGGAAAAGGGAAAAAAAAAAAAAGAAAGAAAAAACCTCGAGAAATGGGAAAAAGGAAAGGAAAAGGGGGGGAAAAAAGGGGGAAAAAGAAACGGAAGAGAAAGGAAGAAGAAGGAAAAAAACCTCCGCAAAGGGAAAGGGGAGGAGAGGAGAGGAGAGGAGAGGAGAGGAGAGGAAAGGAAAAGTTTCCAGCATATAAAGGCAAAGAATAAAAAAATAAAAGTAAAATTTGAAGTTAAATTAAATTAAAATAAGTGAAAAATAGAATTAAGACAATGAAAAACAAAGATTAAACATTCAAAGAATTTGAAATAAAACAAAAAATACAAGGGAATTAAATGATGAACGAAAAATTAACAAAGTAAAGAAAACTCAAAAATAATGAAAAATATTGTTAAAAATAAAACAAAAATAAAACAAAAAAAATCAAATTAAAGGAGAACGTAGAAGATAAGCCGTAACAATAAAAAGAAAATTGAAAACAAACAGCGGAAGAAGAAGAAGAGGCAGAGCCGTGAGCTCCTTCCCGCACCCAGCGCCCCGCACCCGCTGTCCCCCTCCAGCCCCCCGGGGTCCCTCACCCCGCCGCTCGTGCCCCCCCGGGCCCAGGGTCCCCCCGGGCGGTGCCCCCCAGCCCCCCCGGGCCCAGGGTTACCTCGGGGGGCCGAGTCCTGCGGCTGCCCCGGGGCACGGGGGGCAGGCAGAGCCACGGGGACAGGGGGGACAGTGCCACGGGGCCGGGGGGGGCAGCGCAGGGAGCAGGGGAGGGCGGGCAGCGGGGCCGGGGGGGGCTGCGGCCACGGCCCGGCCACAGCGGCTGCGGCCAGAGCGGGCTCTGGGGGTCCCCGGGGCGGGGGTCCCCAGCTGCGCCAGGCGGCTGCCGGGCCAGCCCTGCTGCAAAGGCACAGAAGCACCGTAAAAAGCGGCAGAGGCAGCACGAAAGCGAGGGGGGGTTCATAAAGGAGCGGAAGCCTTGGCGGGCGCGGGGGAGCGGCGCGGGAGCTCTCGGGGTGCCGAGCCACCCGGCTCGTCCCACGGCATGACCCTCCCGGGGCTGCCCCTCCCCAGGTGTGAGCGCCCCGGCCCGGCTCTGCTTCCCTTTTGGGGCAGAAAAGTGCGATTCAGGCGCTTTCTCCCACATGGGCTGGGCGGATTAAAGTCGGGCTCACACCCTGGGCAGACGAAGGTCTCAGAGGGCGCTGGGCTCCCTGAGGGCTTTCTCTGCACCTTCCTGCAGCACCTCCAGCCCGAATTCCACCAGAGCCCAGTGGCACCCAGGCCAGGGGCCCTCAGGAAAACCCCTGGAGGCAGCACGGTTCTCATGGGAATGGCAGGATGGGGATGTGCTGGTGGCTGCGGGGATGCTGAGCATCCTCTCCTGCTGCTCCGGGACCCTGCTCCTCTCTCGGGATGCTGAGCATCCTCTCCTGCTGCCGCGGGCTCTGCTCCTCTCCTGCTGCCCCGGGACCCTGCTCCTCTCCCGGGATGCTGAGCATCCTCTCCTGCTACCCCGGGACCCTGCTCCTCTCCCGGGATGCTGAGCATCCTCTCCTGCTACCCCGGGACCCTGCTCCTCTCCCGGGACGCTGAGCATCCTCTCTGCTGAGGTTTTTCCTGCTGGCCCCACTCGCGGGGAGGTGCCCGGCTCGGGGACAGGAGGTACCGCTGGCCTTACCTTGTCCGCTCGGCTGCCGGGGGGAAGCCGAAGCTGGTGGGAGGCGGGGAGGGCGTTGCTGAAATCTCCGGCGACTGCTCGGGGATGGGCGAGTGGGGCGTGGGGGGCAGCTCGGCGGGCGGGGCCGGGGGCTGCGCGGCCGGGGGGGCCGAGGCCGCCTTGCGCCCCGCTGAGGTGCCTCGGCGAGCCACCCACGAGGTGTCCATCACCCTGACGCCCATGCTGGGGACACAGAGACGGGGGTCAGCACCCGCCCGGCGGGAGGGCACCGCCAGCACCTTCCCGCCACTCCTTCGGGGTCCCTAAAAACGCCTCTTCCGCCGGGAAACTGCTGGGAATGAAACTACAGGGCAGTGGGGCAGGGGTGGCAGCGTGGGATGGGTTTGTGTCACCTACCAGCCACCTCTCCCTTCCCAAGAAGCAGCAGGCACCAGCACCCTCCCAGCACCCTCCCAGCAGCCTGCAGAGGATACAGTACCTTTGGATTTTCCTAAGGCTGCATGGGCAGAAACAAACCATTATTAATGTGAAATCCCTAAAACTGCACAGTGCACAGGAACAGAGGTCACTGCTGGGCAAAGGGGCTGTGGGGCCGAGGGGCTTCGAGAGAAGGGGCAGGGGGCTGAGGCTGTGCCAGTGGTGGGACAGCTTGGGATACCTTCTGGAAATGGGGACCTCTTGGGATGGGCAGAGTCCCGGGTGTTTTCAGGATTCTTTGAGGTCCCTGTGAGGTGTGGTGGAGGGGGGACATGCACAGGCTGGGAATGAGGAGCTTTCCCCTGGAGCACATGCTGCACACCTTGAGGACACCAGGACACCTGTCTCTGGCATGGCACGGCCCCAGTGCCACCCCAGGGGCCACCCCACTCCCACCTGCCATGGGCTGGGGGCAGGCACGGAGCCCTGGGTTCACCTGAGCACCCCCAAGAGCCTGGCACGGAAAGCAGGGGCTCCCTGCACCCTGGGACCACCCAACCTCCACCAGCTCAGTGCCACCCGCCCCACGGTGAGCTGAGCATCCTCTCCTGCTGCCCGGGCGGGTGTCAGAGCCGCCCCCTCGCTGTGCCGAGCCCGGCAGGCTCCCTACCCGTCCTTCTTGCAGAACTCCAGCATCATGTTGTCGGTGGCCACGCTGAGGGGCCGCCGGGCCTGCTCGTGCTGCCGGCGCTCGCCGTGCTCCATGTCCGGCGAGGGCATGGAGCTGTAGTTGGCGTTGTGGTTCACGTGCAGGGGGCTGCCGTAGTTCCCCGTCACGTTGAACTCGATGTCTGGGGGGGCAGAGGGTGTTGGGAGGGGTGAGCTCAGGGAGGGGGGGCTGGGGGTGCTGGCACTGCGGGGATGGGCTCAGGGGGTGCTGGTGTATCTGGGTCTGGCCAGAGCCCTGCCCGAGCTCCTGCAAGCACAGGGGCTGGCAGAACCGATCGTGGGAGCCCTGAGCCCCCTCCCCGGGAGGTGCCGGGAAGCCCCGCTGTCCCCGGGGCCGCGGGCACGCCCTACCTCCCGGGAAGAACCAGTCTGCGTGCTGGATGAGCGGCTCGATGATGCCCACGATCTGCAGCGACAGCGTCGTCATCATCTCCGTCATGTTCCTGCGGGGGGGGGCAGATCAGCAACCCCCCCGGCCAGCAGGGCCTCAGCGGGATTACAGCAGGATTCCCAGAGGGATTACAGCAGGATTCCCAGCAGTGTTCCCAGAGGGATCTGCCCCTCAGGGCTCACCCAGCAGTTTTCCCAGCAGTTTGCCCAGTGAGATTCCCAGCAGGGTTCCCAGTGGGATCTGCCCCTCAGCCCTCATCCAGCAGGATTCCCAGCAGCTGTCCCAGCAGTTTTCCCAGCAGTTTTCTCTGCAGGGCCCCAGCAGGATTCCCAGCAGAGCCCCCAGCAGGTCTCCTAGCAGGATTCCCAGAAGGATTCCCAGCAGGGCTCCCAGCAGGGTTCCCAGCGGGATCTGCCCCTCAGCCCTCACCCAGCAGGATTCCCAGCAGGATTCCCAGCAGGGTTCCCAGCGGGATCTGCCCCTCAGCCCTCACCCAGCAGGGCTCCTAGCAGGATTCCTAGCAGGGTTCCCAGCAGGGTTCCCAGCAGGGCTCCCAGCAGCGCTCCCAGCGGGATCTGCCCCTCACCCAGGCTCACCCCTCGGCCTGTGGCCACAGCAGGTTGGGTCCCAGCACGATGGCCACGTTGCTCGGGGTCATTTTGTTCATATCCTGGTACTCGGTCAGCTTGGCCAGGAATTTAATCACGTACCTGGAATCCCAAAGGGGTCAGTGCACGGGCCACACCCTCTGTGTCCCCTCCCCATGTCCTGCTGGCCCCAGGCCCACCTGATGTTGTTGTAGTTGGCTTTGGGCAGCTTCTCGCAGGCGTTCCAGAGAGCCTGCAGCCGTTTCTCCTGCTCCGGGATGCTGCAGGGAGAGGGGAGAGGGGTTTATCCCCCCTCCCCACCCTGCCCTGGGCCTGTGGACCCCGCCAGCCCCACCCCTGGGGACCCTGTGAGACCCCCAGGCTGCCACCAACATTATGGAAGTAAATGAAGTCCCAAAACCCGTCCCAGGGAGAAGGAATCCCTTTGGATTTCCTCTCCCCACTCCATGGCTCTCAGAGCCCAGAGGAAAAATCCCAAATGCTGTGAACCGTGCCAGAAAAAGCCCAAAGCACCCTGGGGACCCAGGCTGTCCCTGCCGTGCCAGGAGGAACGGGGGGACGGCCCAGACTCACTTGGAGGCCTGGATCCACTCCTCGTACAGCTCAAACGTCATCAGGGGCTCAGGCAGCTCCCGCAGGTAGGACTTGAGGGCTCCTGTGGCACACAGGGGACACAGGGATTGGCACTGCAGGTGGCACCGGCTGTTGGGCACCAAGCGGTTTTGCTCCTGGGCACTTGGACCCAAATCCCCCCCCAAGCCTTCCCCCCCACAGCCCCCTGAGTGTCCCCGACTTGGAGCAGCCTGTGGCACCCCCTGTGCCACCCTGCAGCCCCTCCGAGCACCTTCCCCCTGCATGGCAGCACCTCCCTGGGGCAGCCACTGTCCCCAGTTTGTGTCACCTGCTCGCTCACTGAGGGGACACCCTCCTCTGTTAGCCAGGCCATTAATTAATGACAAAATTAATTGAACAAAATCAGACCCAGCATCAAGCCCTGGACTGCACCACTGGTTCCTGGTCTCCAGCTGGGCTTGGTGCCACTGATCCCCCTCAGGGTGTCCTTGGGGGGTGCCTGGATGGGCCACCCGCCCCGAGGAGCCCCACCTGCGATGGCATGGGGGTCAGCTGAGTACTCCTGCACATCCACCACGCAGCAGTCCAGGGCAGCCTTGAGCTTCTTCAGCTTGGAGGCCGAGGGAGCCACTCGGAAAAGACCCTGGGCAGAGAACACGGACAGGGCTTGGGGCTGGGCACGTCCCTGGAGCCCCCCAGCTCCTCACCCTGGCTCTGGGGACACCTGTGACGCCTTCCATTGTGCCAGCAAGAGTCATGGGACCCACGTCCTACTGCATCCCCCGAATCCAACAGGAACCCACCCACCTCCTCCTGCATCCCCAAATCCAGTAGGATCCACCTCCTCCTGCATCCCCAAATCCAGTAGGATCCACCTCCTCCTGCATCCCCAAATCCAGTAGGATCCACCTCCTCCTGCATCCCCAAATCCAGTAGGATCCACCTCCTCCTGCATCCCCAAATCCAGTAGGATCCACCTCCTCCTGCATCCCCAAATCCAGTAGGATCCACCTCCTCCTGCATCCCCAAATCCAGCAGGACCAACCCACCTCCTGCATCCCCAAATCCAGCAGGACTCACCTCCTCCTGTATCCCCCATCCCAGTAGGACCCACCTCCTCGTGCATCCCCAAATCCAGTAGGACCCACCTCCTCCTACATCCCCAAATCCAGTAGGATCCACCTCCTCCTGCATCCCCAAATCCAGCAGGACTCACCTCCTCCTGCATCCCCCCAAATCCAGCAGGACCCACCTCCTCCTGCATCCCCAAATCCAGCAGGACCCACCTCCTCCTGCATCCCCAAATCCAGCAGGACCCACCTCCTCCTGCATCCCCAAATCCAGCAGGACCCACCTCCTCCTGCATGCCACACTCCAGCAGCATGGTGACGCAGGCCTCCACGGGGAAGGCGATCTCCCGCCCGCTGACAGCCAGGTGCTCCTCCAGGGGCTTCCCAAAGGAGGGCTTCTCCATCCACGCCTCTGTGACGGGCAGAGGGGGCAGAGGAGAGGGAGGGTGGTGCCTGATCCAGCAGCCCCTCCCCAAAAGGCCCTTGGGTCACAGTTTTGGCAGTAAAATACTCTGTACGGGTGTTGTTAGAACAGGACCCTGCAGCTCTGGCCTTTTCCAGCCATCACAGGATCTCAGAGGAGCTGGATAACATTTTCCACAGGGGTAACGACAGGCCAACCTTTGCAATATTCTCCCCTCCTTCCATCATGGTTTAAGGCAGGAATATTTTGTGGAATAGAGAGAAAAATGAAATAGGAACCCCTCCATGCCCTGCTGCAGTGACAGCAGCACCAGGAGCCCTGGCCCAGGAAGGAGCTGCTTTGGGGCCATTGCCTGGGGCTCACCCCAAACTCGGGCTCCCACCCAGAGCCCCTGGATGCTGCACCCCCAGAGAGACCCCCCCAAACCCCCTCAGTGATGGGATTCCAGCTGCACTCGGTGGGGATTTCCACAGAATCCCAGAAGGGTTTGGGGTGGAGAGGACCCAGTGCCACCCCTGCCATGACAGGGACACCTCCCACTGTCCCAGGTGCTCCAAACCCCATCCAGGGGCACTGCCAGGGATCCAGGGGCAGCCACAGCTGCTCTGGGCACTGCGCCAGGGCCTGCCCACCCTCAGCACACTGGGCCAGGCTCCCTCTCCATGCAGATGGACCCTGCCCCAGCCGAGGGGGATGGGATGGGATGGGATGGGATGGGATGGGATGGGATGGGATGGGATGGGATGAGATGGGATGGGATGAGATGGGATGGGATGAGTTGGGATGGGATGGGATGGGATGGGATGGGATGGGATGGGATGGGATGGGATGGGATGGGATGAGATGGGATGGGATGAGATGGGATGGGATGAGATGGGATGGGATGCAGGCAGGACAAGCAAAGGGAGGGTGCTCAGCTGTCCCTGCGGGGTCACAGTCTGTCACAGGCCCTCGGTGGCACAGGCAGGGACAGACCCGCGGGCACTCACCCTGCTGGGCTTTGATCTGTGGCAGGAAGTTCTGCAGGAGCGCCAGGGATTTGCGGTGGTACTCGGCCTGCACCTCGATCAGCTGCGGGGACACGGCACCGGGGTCACACGCTGCTGGGACAGGGACAGCCCTGGGGGGGTGGCACTTACCGTTTGAAAATAGTTTGCATAGTCGACTTCTTTGGCCACGAAATTGTACATGTCAGCCGAGAGCTGGTCCTGCGGGGGCAGAGGATCTGTCACAGCTGGTCCTGCTGCCCCAGTGCCACCACCAGGGCCCTGCCCGAGCCACCAGCAGGAGCAGCTTGGTCCCAGCAGGAGCCAGAGTGGCACAGGGTTGAGGTTGGTGTGTCAGGGGAACTCAGGGGCCTCCCCCACTGCAGCCTGAGCAAGGCCCAGGTCCCCCCAAAGGGCACAAAGAAGGGAGACTGGGATTCCCAGGGAAGGGGGTGAAAGTCCCTCTTAGTGCTGGAAAATGGCAGAAATCAACCCAGAGAAGGTGGAGAAATGTCTGTGCCAGTGCCAGGGCTGCATGAACCCAGGGCTGGATGAAGCCAGGGCTGGATGAGGCCAGGGCTGAGCTCTGCCAGGATGGGTTCCCAGGGAGTGGGAGCCCCTCCAGCACCGGGGGATGTGGAGGATGGGGATGGAGCAGCCGGGGACGTCCTGCTTGTCTGGGGAGCATCACCCCAGCCAGAGGAGGGGCAGCACGGGGGGAAGGAAGGGGCAGGGCGGGCTGAGAGGAGCGGCTGCAGCTCTGCCCAGAGTCGGGGAGCCCCCAGACCCCCCGGCCAGGGGGAGCCCGTACCCTGCAGATCTCCACTCTGTTGGCCGCCTCCTCCATCTCCTCCCTGAGAGCGTCGGCTTTGGCCCCCGAGGGCTGCAGGTTGCTGGCCAGACCCGAGGACTTCACCGACTGCTGCCACCTGCGGGAGGGACAGCGACGGCCGGAGCCGTGACCACACCCCAGGGCCACCGCGGTCCGCAGGGCTGAGCAGCACCGAGATGATCCCAGTCCAGCTGGGATTTAGCCCCACTCCCACGCCCATCCCCACAGCACTGCACACGGCAGGGAAGGAATTCTTTTCAGCAGGATAAGGAGCCGCGTCCAGGTGGGAAGAGAGGGGAAGGGGATGGGAGAGCCTGGGCGTGATGCTGGGGACTGTGGACACCTCTCAGACCTCTCCCAGGACATGCAGGAGTGGGGGCTTGGACGACTCAGTGGTGCCATGGGACAATCCTGAATCATCCCCGCTCCCCTCGGTGCCACTGCAGGGGCAGGAGCACCCGGCTCCCTGCACCAGACCTCCTCAAGACAGGGGAAAAAGTACAAAGTCACCCTTTCTGCCAGAAAAAAATTACACTTTTGCCACAGAGGGCAGGCAAGGAAAAGGAATCCGTGGGTTCTGCGGACAGGAGCAGAAATGGTGGCTCATTGCAGAGCTCACTCAAGCCCCCAGAGGCTCAGCCAGGGCTCCTCGTGCCACGGGAGCTGCGGTGCCAGGGGCCAGGAGCTGCTCTGCTGGGAGCCACCCATGGTTGGGAGCGTTTGTTTCTTACAAAGCACTTCCTACCTCGTCCTGGAGGAGTCCATGTCCAGCACGAGCTTCGCCAAGTGCTTCCTCTGCTTTTGGATATTTGGGATTTCCACCTGCAGCAGCACAGGGAACGGGAGGAGGTGACGGCCCTGGAGAGGTGTCCGGGGACGGTCACAGCCCGGGGCTTTGGGCTGGGCGGGCGAGGATGCAGCTCCCTAACGCCGCATCCTCAGGGAGACGGCCCCGCTGGGTGTCCCACCCGGAACGAGCCCCAGCTCCGGGGGCACCCAAACTCCTGGGAGCTGGGTGGGGGCAGGAAGGGCTCTGGGGAGCCGCGGCTCACCTCAGCCAGCACGAAGAGCGGCTCGATGACGTCCCGCTCCACCTGCAGCTCGAAGTGGATGAGCTCCTGCGCCAGCTTGTCCTCGGCCTCCCCGCACAGCCGCAGCATCTTCCTGCAGGGACAGGCACGGCTGGGGACAGCGGGGACCGCGCTGCACCCGGGGACAGGGCACCCACCCCGGGCACCAGGAGCGGCGCTGGCAGGAGGAGGGCGGCAGCCAGGGCACCGTGGGCACCGGGGTGCCAGGAAAGCTCATTCCCTCAGTACTGCACTTATAATGATGTAATAATAACTAAAGGATTATATTATTATATTGTGACATATTTAGCTATATTATTGTGTTATATATTAGTATTGTGTTGTGTAGGGCAGTCTGAAATTGTATGAATTTAAATTGTATTTAAATATCTATATAAATAAATATAAATATAAAAAATATAAATAACAAATCACATATAAATATTTGTAAAACATATGTAACTATATAAATTATAATACAGAAATATATAAAATGTACAAATATAAATACATTAATATGGATAAGCCACGTGTAAGTATATAAATAGTAGTAACTCAAATATAAATATATAACATGCATAAAAATCGATATAAAAATAAATACAAATGTCGATATAGGCAGATTACACTGTATGATCACAGGACCCCAGCCCATACAAGGAGGAGAAGAATTAATTACCAAGATCCACACAGCAGTGAATCCCCATTATGTGGCACCGGAGACAAGGAGCAGCAGCATTCCCAGAGCATTCCCAGAGCATTCCCAGCACATCCCAGCACATTCCCAGCACATCCCAGAGCATTCCCAGAGCATTCCCAGCGCATCCCCAGTGCATTTCCAGAGCATTCCCAGCACATCCCATCCCATCCCAGCCCATCCCGGCACATCCCAGCACATTCCCAGAGCATTCCCAGTGCATCCCCAGAGCATCCCCAGAGCATTCCCAGAGCATTCCCAGCGCATCCCCAGTGCATTTCCAGAGCATTCCCAGCACATCCCATCCCATCCCAGCCCATCCCGGCACATCCCAGCACATTCCCAGAGCATTCCCAGCACATCCCAGGCCCGGCCAGCCCCAGCCCCCCTTACCCCAGCAGGGAGTCATCCCCCAGCACGGCCGACCCCTCCATCAGACACTGCGCCAGCGTCGTCAGTGGCAGCTTCTTCTGCAGAGAGACAGGAGCTGCATTCCCACCGGATCCCCGGATCCCCCTGATCCCCGGATCCCTCACCAGGGATCCCATCACTGGAGTATCCCATCACCAGGGATCCCATCACTGGAGTATCCCATCACCAGGGATCCCATCACTGGAGTATCCCATCACCAGAGATCCCATCACCAGGGAGCCCATCACCAGGGATCCCATCACCAGGGATCCCATCACTGGAGTATCCCATCACCAGAGATCCCATCACCCAGGGATCCCATCATCCAGGATCCCATCACCCATCACCAGGGTTCCCATCACCTGGGGTCGCTGGGATGCTGTGGCACCCCCAGGGAGCTGCTGATGGGTGCAGCCCCCCCGGGAAGTGCCCAGGCACCCAAAGACACCCCGGGATGGCTCCGGGGGAGCCTCACCTGCAGCAGATCCTCGCTCAACACCTCGGTCTTCTCGGCTCTGCGGGACAAGAGAGGAGAGGAGCCATGGGTGAAGGCTGTGGGACAGGCAGCAGCACCCCTGCACATCATGGAGCAGGGATGTGCTTTTCCTTTGGGATGCAGGGGGGATTTAAGGATCTCTGCTCCCACCAGCCATGCCTGATCTCCTCAGGAAGGAACTGGTGGAGCATCTCCACGGCCCACTGCCAGGTACCACACCAACCAGGGCCTGCCTCCCATCTCTCCCTTACTTTTCCGTTATTGCCAGGAAAACAGGGATTCAGATTCCCAGGAGGAAGCGGGCAGTGCTCGGAGAGAGGCGCTGTGGCTGCGCTGGGCTGCGCTCCCTGCGGAGCCCGCCCGGCTCAGCCTCCTCGCACGGGGGCAGCCACGGGATGGAGGCGGCAGCTGCTGCCCAGGGCCCGGCCAGAGCCCTTCTGCTGCTCACTGGAGACGGATTTACCGCTCCAGAGCCCGTGGCAGCCGCCGCCTTCCCCAGGGAGGAGCGCCGGGATGCAGGAGACACAAACCCGCGCCGTCCTCGGCCCCTGGACCCGCAGCAACCAGAGCCCAGGGTCACCACAGCTGCTCAGGCTCATTTAAACCATCACATCCGGACCATTTGCTCTTTTTCCCAGGGTTTTTAACAACTTCAGTGCATCCTTTCACTTGGAAAAACGAGCTCTGTCAATTTGAGCTGTCATTCAGCCAATCGCTCCCTAAAGGTTCGGCAGGAGACAGCGAGAGCTTGGTGCTGCCGTCCTGCAAACACCACCTTCACTGCCCGAGCCTGGTCCCTTCCTGCCGTCCGAGCTGGGTTCTCAGCTTGGAGACAGGGAGGGAAGTGTTGGAGCAGAGGAAATATGGAGCAGACACAGAGAAAGGGTCAGACAGCGAGCACGGCTCGTGCACACAAAGCCTTGCAGAAAGTGCAAATCACAGAATCCCAGAAGGGTTGGAAGGGACCTCAAAGCCCACCCAGTGCCATCCCTGCCAGGGCAGGGACACCTCCCACTGTCCCAGGTGCTCCAGCCCCAGTGTCCAGCCTGGCCTTGGGCACTGCCAGGGATCCAGGGGCAGCCCCAGCTGCTCTGGGCACCTGTGCCAGGGCTTCCCCAAACCAACAGCATTAAATCTGCTTTGGGCATGAAAGATGTCCCAGCACCTGATTTAAGGTGGTTTAAAAATAAATTTTAAAAACTTAAGTTAAACAAACCCTGTTTATGTTAATTTTTAAAAAAAAATAGTTATTGAAACAAACTGATTAGATCTTCTCTAAGGAGCACTAGGAGCAAGAGCTGAGCAGCTTCTCCTCCTCCTCTGGGAATCACCTTCACTCTCATTTAGACAGGATTGGAAGTGGCACAGAATTAGCACAAACAGGGAAAAAAGCAGCAAATATCCACGGGCACAGCCACAACGTCCGTCCCCAGCTCAGGATATTTTTAGCCTCCTGAAGGAGTGGGAGGTGGCAGGGAGTGAGGCACCGCTGGCACATCCCTGCTGCTCACTCCTCAGGAATCACTTCCTCACTTGTGCAGGAGAAGGGATTTTTTTCCTTGTTTCCTCCTCTCCCAGCCAGGAGGTGGGTGGGATTTGCACATCCCAGCCCACGGGCAGGGCTCTCTCCCAGCATCCCAACCCGTGCCATGCTCTGAGGTGTGATTGGGAAGGAGAAAACAACATTTCAAGAGAATAACAAAAACCCGGCCTTGCACATGCTCAGCGTGAGGAACCCCCGTGGTTCAGGGGAGAGCATCCCCCTGTGCAGCCCTGCATCCCGGGATGCTGCAGCGGGCTGGGGAGCCTGCCAGGGAGGAGCTGGGCTCTGAAAACAACCGGGCTGCAGCGTTCTGTGGGCTGGGATCAGCAAAGGGGCTCCAATCACTCCCACCTAAGGATGGGTGATGGCCCCTGTGCCTCCCAAGAGAGGGGGACAGGGACCCCCCAATTTCCCTGTCTGATCCCTAATTCCCCAAAACTTCATTCTGTATGAGTTACCCACATCCCGAGGGAGCACCCCCTGGGGACACAGCCAGCATCCCCAGCTCCCAACGCTTTTCCTCTCTCCTTTTGGCAAACAAAATGCTGCTCCTCCCCTCCAGCTTCCCACCCAAGCCATTTTTCCCAGCACAACCCCGGGCCCTGCCCCAGCAGCAGTCGGACCTGTCCCTGCAGGCAGCTGGGAAAGGGACAGTGAGCACGGGGAGCCAAAGCCAGCGAGTGGGGACACAGCCATGGCATGCTCGGGCTTTGCTGCTGCACAAGTTCACTGCTGCCAGCAGAAATCAACCCCAATCAAGCAAATTATGTTGATTCCCAAACAAATCCGTAGTTTCCAAAGCCTTGGCCTGGGGAGGTGCAGCAGAGCCGGTGCATCCCTGGAGCATCTCCTGGTGCCAGCCACCCCTGCCTGCCTGGGCCACCCATCAGTATCCCCTGCCACCGTCCCCCTCTGGTGCCTCAGCCAGCCACGACAGGGAGCTGCCAGCCTTGGGTTTGACCTGAGCCTGCAAAACTCCCAGCACGGCAAGGATTTCATGGCAATTAATCTCTGAATGGGAAAGCAACACATCCGCTGTGGGGACAGCAGGGGCAGGGATGAATCTGCAGCAGGAGCAGGGATGAAACACCCCCAGAGGCAGAGCATGTCCATGGTGCCCACAAAGCCTCCATCTCCTGCCCAAACAGCCCTTCGGCCCAGCCTCCCCTCGCTGCAGCCTGCCCAGAAATATTTAATCACTATTTAATTACCAACGCTGATTCCCTTATTTCTCCTTGCTCTAGCCTAAAAACAGCTCCCCCGGCAGGGAGGGAGGCACGGATTCCCGGGCTGGGTCTGTCCCACATCCCTCACAGGGCCCGGCTCCATCCCGCTCCTGCTCCATCTCCCCCGTGCCTGCGAGAAAACCCGGGGTGCTGGAGCCCCCAAAGCCCGGGGGGAGCTTGGGGAGCGAGGCTCATCCACAGCCCCTAGGGAGAGCACTGGGCATCCTCGGCGTTTGCCAGAGGGAGGAGGAAGCGCCCCGGTGTCACCGCCAGCCCTGGAAGCGCTGGGCTCCGCGATCCAGGCTGGATTCTGAGCCAAGGCCGCGATGTCCCCACCTTCTGCCGCCCCTGAGCTCTCGCGGCCACCGCCTCGCTGGGGACACGGATCCCGGCGGCTCAAACCCGGCACCCGCCGAGCCCCAGCGGAGCCGCGGATTTTTCCCGGTGCCTTTTCAGCGGGCAAGAAGCAAAACATCAAATATTGATATCCTCAAATCGCTGCTCAGCTCTCCCGGGAAGCGGCTCCGACTGCGATATCCAGCGCGACGTGGGGACACGGTGCGACAGCCCGGGGACACTGCCGCGGGGCGGGCAGCGCTGCCCTGTGCCACATTCCCTGTGCCACATTCCCTGTGCCACATTCCCTGTGCCACATTCCCAGCGGGGCCAGGCCCGGGCTGTGCCAGGCTGGACAGCACGAGGAGCAGGCAGGGAGGGCCGGAGCCGCTTCCCTCCATCCTGCCCACAGCTGGGCAAGCCGAGGGAAGCCGAGCAAAATGGGGGACAGAGTCTGCGAGGCGGAAAAGCCTCTCGTCCTCATCTCCCGCTGCCTCCCCGCGGCGAGCTCGGGGCTGGCATCGCTGTGGCACGGGATGCTCGGCGCCCTCTGCTCCCGGCGCTTCCCTCCCGGGGCCGCGCCCCGAGCTTCCATCCCGATTTAGCAGCCCTGGAGAAGCCCCTGCGGAGCGCAGAGCCCCGAGGCAGCTGGAGCAGGGACAAAACCCTCAGCCCGCTCGCTCCATGAATATTCCAGGTTGTCAGCGCTGTCTCTTCGCAAGGAGGATAAAAATATCCCTGGGGCTGCCGGGATCCGCCGGCTCCAGAGCCGAAATCCCAGGGGGTTCTGCTGACAGCAGCCACCGGCACCCCGAAGTGCAGATGGGGAGCCCAGCTATTTACAGGGTGCTGTTCCCTCCCGCAAACCCCGCTGGGAAAATCCCAGGCGGTGCTTTTATCTCCCTCTGCCCTTGCTCCGTGCAAGCAGAAAATGTCCTTCTGTCTTGCCGGGTACTCCTGCAGCACCAGGAAAAAACCCTCGGTGTTTAAAGGCTTTGCCTGGAGGTGCGGCCGTCCCGGGGCTTGGAAAAGCATCGCCCTGCGAGCCACCGAGGTGACACCCAGCCCCAAATGCCACCGCTGCCCCCGGGGTGGGGGACACAGCGTGGGATGCTCGGAAAGGACGAGGAGGAAAAATCCAACCCCTCCGAGCTTCCGCCACCATTCCCGGCGAGCTCATCCCCCTGTTCCGCCGGGGAGCCCAGCGTGCCGCTCTGCAGGCGCCTGCAAGCGCCCGATTTAATCCCCATGGGAAAAAATCCCCGCGGAGCCGATCCTGGGAAATTCCCAGGGCTGTTCGAGTGCCCGAGGTGACATCCTGGTGCCACTGCCCCACCGCCTGCAGCCAGGGGATGGAGAAACACAAACAGAGATAAAAGCACTTCGCAGGAAACCTCCTCAGAATGCTCTACAGCCGCTCTTTGGCTTCCCTTCCCTTTTCCACCCCACGGAGAGAAATACTCCTGCCCCTCACGGACTGGCACAGGAATTCTTCCCAAGTTTGGGTACCAAGTGTGGGGCTGGGCTGAGCATCCCCAGTTCTTTCTGTCAAGTGAAATGACAAAAAACCACCCAAACCCAAAGTAAATTAAATAAATAAATGCAAAACAAAACAAAATAAAATAAACGTCCTGCTCAGGGCCCAGCAGAGGTTCCAGTCTCCCCCTCCAGCTCCTGCTGCTGCTCTCCCAGTGGGGACAGGGGCTCCGTGCTGGCTCCAGCACCCAAGGGGAGCTGGGACATGGATGGAGCTCCAGACTGGATTTGAAAAGGACACAGCCACTTCCTCACCTGGCCCTGACCTTGGTCCTACCCTGACCAATAATTCCCTGGCTCTGATCCTTATCCTGAGCTGATCCTGGTCTTAACCTTGACCTTAACCCTAAGCCTGACCCTAAGCCTTACCTTAACCCTAACTACAACCCAGCCCTGACCAGACCTTGGCCCTGGTCCCAATCCTGAGCCAAGCCCTGAGTCTCCTGCTCACCTTGGCCCTGTCCCTCGGTCCCTCTGTGTGACCTCCTTCAGGGACAAAGGGCTGCTCCCTTCTCTGGCTCCTGCTGCCCCATGGAGAGGGGTTTCTCCTCAGACCCCTCTCTCCTTCCCTTTTTCATGGAAACTGCACCACCTAAAGCAGGGAAAGCCTCCAGGGGCTGGGACAGCTCTCAGCACACCCTGCAGTGGGGCTGGGCAGATGTCCCTGCTGTCCCTGCTGTCCTGCTGTCCCTGCTGTCCTGAAGTGCCCCCAGGAGACACCCCCCGTATGAGCACAGCCTTCAGCCCAGGACAGGATCCATCCTGGTGATCCCCATTCCCAGACTCAAGGCTCTGGCACTGCAGGGGGACCCCATGGGGGTTTGGTGACAGGGAGAAGGGGACACCCCTCAGAGCCCCAAAGGTTGTGGTGCTTGTTCCCCAGTGAGCCTCTGGCAGGAAGACAAAACACCAGGGTTCTACTCTTATTCCTTATTTCCATTTATTATTCCTTATTTCCATTAATTATTCCTCAGTTCCGTTAATCATCCCTCATTTCTATGTATCATCCCACATTTCCATGTGTTATTTCCCACTTCCTTTTATTTTTTCCCTATGTTCATCTATTATTCCTTACTTCCATCTATGATTCCCTGTTTTCAGTTGTTATTCCCTATTTTCGTCTATCATTCCTTAATCCTATCTGTCATTCCTGGTTCCCGGCTGTCTGGACTGCTCAGGACTCTGCCGTGGGGCCCAGCAGAACCGGGATGAGCACAGGGATGCCCTGCAAGCTCCAGCCAAGCCCTGAGGATGCTCCAGGTGCCCCGTCCCAGGGCAGAGGGGCCGCATCCCCCCGCTGGCCCTGGGTACCTCCAGGGCCCCCAGCTGCCCAGCACATCCCCTAAGAGGATTATTCGGGGTTCAGCCGAGCCCGGCCCCATTCCCAGGGCTGTGGGATGCTCCAGCTGTGTGGGAAGGAGGATGCTCCAGCTGTGTGGGAAGGAGGATGCCCCTGGCCTGGCAGAGGCACCATCCTGGGCCAGGGAAGGGAGCAGTGCCTGGCTCGTGTCTGCCACGCTGTGCGGGGGACCTGGGACACCCCCCGGGCAGCCCCCATTCCCAGAGGGTGGGAACGTGTCCAACCCCCTCGGAGGGTCCGGACAGGGCACCTGGCCTGGCGCAAATGCCACGGGAAAATCCCACCCTCTGTCCCCGAACAGCCTCCCCCTGCCGCTCCCCACGGGAGGCAGCGCCGGGCTCCCGGAGCTCCCGCAGCATGGTCCCGGTGCCACCTTCCCTGTGCCACCTTCCCGGTGCCACATTCCCGGTGCCACATTCCCTGTTCCACCCTCCCTGGGCCACATTCCCAGTGCCACATTCCCTATGCCACCTTCCCAGTGCCATGCTCCCTGTGCCACCTCCCCTGTGCCACCTTCCCTGTGCCACATCCCCTGTGCCACCTTCCCAGTGCCACGCTCCCACAGCACACTGGCACCACACACTCCCCATGCTCACAGTCCACATTTCCACTGCACATTCCCACACTGTGCTCCTGCATGGCGTTCCCACACCACTGCCGTGCCGGATCCCCGCACCAGATCCCAGAGCTCCCGAGCCGCGCTCCCTGCCCGGCATTCCCGCACCTGCCGGCATTCCCGTGCATTCTCGGCATTCCCGCACCTGCCGGCATTCCCGTACATTCCCGGCATTCCCGCACCTGCCCGGCATTCCCGTACCTGCCGGCATTCCCGCACCTGCCAGGCACTCCTGCACCTGCCGGCATTCCCGTGCATTCCCGGCACTCCCGCACCTGCCCGGCACTCCCGCACCTGCCCGGCATTCCCGTCCCTCCCGCAGGTGCCCGGCCCTCCCGCAGCCCCTCAGCCGCTGCCATCCGGGCCCGTGCCCGCTCGGGCCGTGGGGTAGCGCTCCCGGTGCCGTGGGGGGCCCGAGGGCCGCGGGCGGTGCCAGCAGCAGCCCTGGCGATGCCGAGGGGATGCGGAGCCGCCGCTCCAGCTGTGCCAGTGCCCCGGTGCCGCGATGGGAAGGGGAAATAAATAAATCCTCTTCCCGCCCCCCCCGCTGCTAAATCTCCAGGAATTACACAACAGCCACCATCAAACCCGGGCCCGGCCGTGCCCCGGCGCACACGGCCCTCCCCTGGGCACTCCCCTGGGCACTCCCGCGGGCATTCCCGTGGGCACGGCTCCGGCTCCAGAGCCCCAGGGTGCCCCCGGCCCCACGGCCAGCAGGGCCGCCCTGGGGTGCTGGGGGGACAGGGCAGTGGGGCACCCCCCAGCATCGGGGCAGAGGGGACGGCAGGACAGGGGGACAGGCAGGGAGCAGTGGGTAAAGGGGGCAGGGAGTGGGGCAGGGCAGGGGTAGGCGGGCAGGCAGGGGTTAACTGGCAGGGGGGCAGGGAATGGGCAAGAAGGATGCAAGGGGTGGGTACGGGGGCAGTGGCACAGGCAGAGAACAGGGAGTTGGGCAGAGAGAGGGGCGGGGAGCAGGGCCAGGGGTAGGGAGTGGGGCACGGTGAGGACAGAGGGTGTCAGGGCTCAGACAGGGAGCAGGGCAAGGGGCACACAGGGAGCAGGAGGGCTGTGGGTTGGGCAGGGAGCAGGCACGGAGTGGGATTAGGGCCAGTGGGGCAAGCAGGGCTCAGGCACGGAGCAGAAACGGTGGGGCAGGCAGTGTGGCAGTGGCACAGGTGCAGCATCAGGGCACTGGGGCAGGAAGGGAGGAGGGGCAGGCAGGGAATGGGCAGGGAGTGGGATGAGGGCAGTGAGGCTGCCAGAGTGCAGGCACGGAGTAGGAACAGTGGGGCAGGCATGGAGGGGGCAGAATCAGGGCAGTGGGGCAGGCAGGACACATGGGAGCAGGGCGATGGGGCCGGCAGGGAGCGGGCAGGGAGCTGGGAACGGGCAGGTGCGGGTGCGGCGGGGCGGGCGGGAGCAGGCAGGGCACGGGATGGGGCTGTGGGCAGGGCAGGGCTGGGCAGGGCAGGGTCCGTCTCCATCCCATCCCATTATCCCATCCCATTATCCCATCCCATCCCATTATCCCATCCCATCCCATCCCGTCCCATCCCGTCCCCACCTGCCCACGGTCTGGTTGGCGAGCTGGCGCATGCGGTTGAATTGCTTCTTCATGGTGGCGGCGGTGCGGGCGG